AATGTATTTTTTGCTGTTATTATTGGATTAATGGATGTTTGTTGATCAATATTATCTATCATACCATAGAAAACATTTTCTTTTGAGTATATTGATGGAGCTGTTTGAGTAAAAATTTGTTTAACAACTGTTGAATGTATTCCATCAGCACCAATAACCATATCAACTCGAAGTGGTTTTTGTTGTTTTTCATTTTCAAATGAAATTGTAACACCACCATTATCTTGTTTAATATTACTCATGCTATGAGAATAATATAAAATACCATCCTTTTCTAAAGGCTCTTTTAAAATATCAACAAGTTCAGAACGAATAGTGCCACCCATAAAATAACCAAATCGTTTTCCAAATTCGCCTAGTTTGTTGTATGTAGCTACTATTTCACAATTTTCATTAATAATATGCCATTTTAGAAAAGGATGAAGAGTTTTTTCGATTTGATCTTTGAAACCAATATGTGCAAGCGATGCCTGTCCATTCGGTTGAAGACCAAATGCTGCTCCAACTGTTGGAATAAAATAAGGCGCACGTTCATATAATGAGACCGACATTCCTATTCGTTTTAAAGCATTAGCAACAGTCAAACCACCGATTCCGCCACCAATTATTGCCACTGAACGAGCTTTTGTCATACTTATTATCGAATTATTTAATATGTTCAATAGATTATCTAACAAAGAGAGAGTACATACAATATGAAAATAAATTCGAACGTCTAATTTTAAAATCATACATTATTTTTCTATAAATTTTTGGGCAGATTTTTCGATACAAAATTATTCTTATATAATAATTTTTGTATTTATCATTTGAAAACATAATTTTATTATTGAATTCGATCATAGAGAAACTTTGAAAAAACATGGGTGCTAATATCAAATGGCGTTAGTAGAGCTAAGTTCTAGATACCACTATAGAAGGTGGAATGTTTTGATTCAAGGGTAAGTTCAATGTTTTTTTATAAGATCCTCATCTGGAAGTTAAAAATGAGAGAAGACGAATTTTTCAATGTCACTTAGATGAAATATAATTAGTCTTTCTTTAATCGAACTCACTTTTGGCAACATGTTACAAGATTGTGTAACTCATTGGCATGAACGTCATTGAAATGAAGGTCACCAAATGCCGTTCAATCGACTATGTTTGTGAGTTTCATTTCGACGATCATTCCTTATGTTCACACTCTTTCTGAATACTGATGATATACGTTCATATATATATACTGCAGGTATTATCTCAGAATGCTGCCGATAAGTTTGATCATTGAAATGAAGATCGCCGAAAACAGACATTGCCGATAGGCATATCGCTGAATTTTAGCAATATGTGTGACGATTTTAGATAGAAGAAGTGTTAGCGCTGATGAAACTACGCTTTATTATGTTTCTTCATATCAATAACCGCATCGTTTACATACAAAGCATACGCTTATATACTCTTCCATAAAAGAGAAAGGAAAGGAAACAATAACACGGACAGAAAATAAGTATAATATGGTATGGACAAAGTACAATACGATGTACTACGTAAGAACAAAAATATAAGGACAATCCGTAGGATGAGAAGAAATAGTAAGAAGAGGAAAATATCATACATACACTGCATGCAACGGATAAGTTACAATATGATTTTCGACGAAGAGCATATTGACAGCGTAATAGTGGTGCAGATGAAAAAAAAAATCTACAGCTTGCATAAAAAACCGTGCATTTGAAGAAAAATGCGAAGGTTTATGTTCATCGAAATGCGACTTTCGAAAGAAGAGATTTTGATCTGCTTTACTCTGAACAAGTTTAATAGCGAAGCAGAAATATTTGATCAAAAAAAAAAGATCCCACATGGTAAAATCCTGCATTGTTGAAAATGTTTATTAGGCACGTCATTTTAGTTATGAAAGGTCGAGAAAAATTTTTAGCAGATTCTAGTTGATCTGACTCAAACTTTTTCGTAAAAGTCTTTTTCACTTGTAATGAAGAATTCCCACTTCCAGTCATTACTGATGTATTATCCAATATTTATTTATCCAAAACTCATTGTTTTCACAAAAATATTTTCTAAATTTGCTGCGACAATAAAAATTGACGTTTGTATTACATAAAATGTGATGCCTTGCTCAAATCTATCAATCTGATGGTACGGAAGAAAGCGTTTGAGTCTATTCTAGTCTACGAAGCGTTAATCTGAGGGAAGACAGGCCTGACCAAGTCTTATGGCTTGACCGCCTATGCTTATTGGACACGAAATTGTAGTAAAAAGAATGTGCACTTACCTTGTAACAGTGCGTCATCTGTTACAAGAAAATAAAAATTAAGCAATAATAGAAAATTTCTACATTAGATAGAGCCTTTTTAAACTCTTATCTATTCAACATAAGGTGAGCTTGAGCCTACCTAGGCTTCGCGATTGCGCCGTCTAAAGATAAAACGTTGCTTTGGAACGCAAAATTTGAAGATTTTTTAATAAAATTTTTTCTGATAAATTCTTTAAAATGATTAATTAGTTAATCTAAATAAATCAATAAGCAAGTTATTTATGAAATAATCAATTAATGTTAATATCATATAACATAGATAGTATAGAAATGTTTCTAATTTACGAAGATTTCTTTTTTTATGTTAACAAGTTAGTTTTGCGTCGTTTGATGATAACTGAATGTATCAACTACCAGTAAATACCAACTGGTGATACTCAATCAGTTGCTCAATGGTCATTTTTTTCAAAAAAATTTATAATAAAATAATCTTCACTTTTTATTAGATATGTCTTGATTATGATATTTCTATATTGACAAAAAAATCTCGAATTGTTGAATTCAAAAGGACAAAATCATTTTCCAATGTCTGCTGCTAACCAATCAGAATTCGAATGTGTATAATGCACATACAGGCGTATTGTAGCATAAATTAATATAATATGTTATCAAATATCATAACTGATCAACAATGTTTAATTGTCGATGAAAATGATAATCCATCTAGATATCAAGATGCCATAAATCAAGGTAAATTATTATCCTTCGTTTATATTAAATAAAGAAATATTAATTTAGGCTATGAAACATTTATAAATCCATCCACAATAAGAAATACTTCACCATATCCTTATATATAGAGTTCTCAGCAACCTACAGTAATCATCCTTAGTGGATGTCCAGCTTGCAAAAGTTCATATATTTTTTTTCTTGTAAATATTTTCATCATTGAGTATGTTTGTAGCTTAGCATGTTAGATACTGAGTCTACATGTTTGGGTCTATGTTATGCAATATTCTTTTTTCCGATGAAAATTCTTTATTGTTTAGCACTTCTACGGCAACGGTGTAATTTCTGTCGAACTATTATAGATTAAAATATCAAATAAACACAATCTTCTATATATATATATATATTATATGTAAATCTTATTCATTCTCAATAACAATCTTTTTAATAAAAATTCAATGTTAAATAATTGTTCAAGTTCTATAAACTTATTTCTGATATATCAATGAACAAATATATTTATTTAGTTTCCTTACAATATTCAAACTAATTAAGATCGAACAAAAAACATGAAAACCAACAAACTATCTGTCTAAAAGAAACAATGTAAAATATTGATTGATGTATGTTTTGTAGAAGTTATCATAATATAATTATTCCGATTATTTCATACTGAATTATAATGTAGAAATAAGTAATCAGTAGCAGAATTCATTTTGATGTTGAAAACTGAATCTTATATATGAAACGTTTCATAAGATGTCTAATTCGAGTTATATTATAAATGAGCATCTACAACCTTAGCATCAATTCGAAAAAAAATGAAAAAAATTCATATCATCATGTGGCGATGGCAGAAATAAAAAAATTTATTTGAATTATAGCATGTAAGTTAGATAGGACTGTCCTACAACTACGGCGGAAAGGCAGAAAAAAATATTTGAATTGTGTACTATATTTCAAATGATTAGGTCCTTGAGGGTGGGTGTGAGATGTAGGTCTTCCTTTTTTTGTGGTCACTTCCTCATCTCACACCCACATCCGGTGACCGATCAAGTCGTCGCAGAACAATTCTTCGCACATGTATTGTAGAGAATACATTGATTGAATTAAATGATTTAGTTTAGAATGTTATCTAATTAATACCCTTAACAAAAATTTTTCTTCAGACTCTTCGGAATCTTTTTTTCAGAATACAATGGTTTTTTCAAAAATAAAATAGAGACATCAATTTAAAATCTATTTTAAAATTTAATTTAAAAAAATTGAAATTTGATTTTCAATAAAATTATATGTAAACAAACTAAAAATAAAGTTCATTTTTTTTCATTAAAATATATGTTTTCAGTAAATGAAAAACTTTTACTTTTTTTAATTTAGATTTGTTAAATTTTTTTTCGATTTTATATGATTGTTTTATGTTTCAGCCTTTTTTTAAAAAAAAAGTTAAATTTCAATTGAAAAAAATGAACTTTATTTTTGGTTTGTTTACATATAATTTTATTGAAAATCAAACTTCAATATCTTTTTATTAAATTTTAAAATAGACTTTGAATTGATTGCTCTATTTTATTTTTGAAAAACCATTGTATTCTGAAAAAAAGATTCCTAAGAGTCAGAAGAAAAATTTTTGTTAAGGTGATTAATTAGATAACATTCTAAACTAAATCACTTAATTCAATCAATGTATTCTCTATAATACATGTGCGACGAATTGTACTAGTGCCCCCACACCCACCCTCAACACTCACACCCACACCCCCAGCCTCAATGTAATGCTTCCAAAGGACAAATGAATGGACACAAGATTTGCTATGCCAGTTGAGACTAGAAAACAAGATAGCAAAATAGTATTTATTTACTCCGCTCTTCATTGGTCGGTGGAACTCAAGTTTAAGCTAGCGATCAGTATTTTTAGAATTCTATCTGTGGTAAGACTTTCAAGCAAAGAGTTGGATTTAAGGTGCATTTTGATTTCGCTTGCAATTTTTGGCACCTGCTTTATACTAAAATATGTTTTATGGGTACAGGTGGTTCGGGTTCATCCAAAGAAGAATTTGGCCTATGGTCTATTTGTTCTACATTAGGTTGTAATGCCTTGGGATGCCGTACTTCATCTGAATGCGCAAAAATGTATGCTGCCAGAGCATTTATGATAATTGCCCTTACTCTGGCAACGCTTGGTGCCATACTGATCATAGTGTATTTTGTGCTTCGTATGATACGCAAGAAGACAGATTCAGGCTTTATACCTATGATTGGTTTCATGTTTTTCTTGTGTGTTTTGGCGGATGTTATTGGTGTTTCTGTAGGAATAGCGTTCACCCTTCATGAAGGTGGATATTCATTGGACCCGGGTGCATTTATAGCAATTGTTGCAGTTGGCATGAATTTGGTTGGTATGATTATACTATATACATTGAGACCACGTAAAGATAAGGATGAAACTGCAAATAAAAGTAATCATGAAGATGTTCAGGTTGATATGGTTCAAGTATCTAACCTCTCGGCTCGCGGCAATTCTGCTGCAGACATTACTACAATGTTTTAATGCTAATTAGCTTTTCTTCTATGTATATTTGTTTTTTGTGTCTCTTTCTCCTGATAACACTCATATGATATCTAATTGGAAACACATTGCAATTAAATAAATGGTCACTTTACTTATTCTTATATATTCCTATATGCGACCAGTAATTGATCTACATCTGACACTAAACTGTCTTTTACTAGGCAACAGTGAAATATACAGTATTTTTTTCATATGTAAGTCTAGAAAGAGCTATTGATCTGTAAGATTTTGTTTAGCTATATAGTAACTTAACTTACGTTTAGTAGAATGAGAAAAGTAAGGTTACATAGTATTCCAAAGAAATGTAGTTTAATAAACAAGAGCATATTGAAAAGCCAGTGATCATGCTTAAACATTGGCTATTTAGTAATGTATCGCCCAAAATATACAAATCAATAGGTCGCCCATTAAATGATTCATGTAAAAATTTGCAGAAGAAATGATCGATAAAGACATACGAACAATAATTACTAATCGGCATAATAAAGTTATTGGACAATTAGAATTAAATCTGATAGCTATTTGCTTCTCAACAGCTGAATGAACAGCTTGTAGTCATGAAAACAATGGGCAATGAAGATAAATGAAGGTGTGGGTGTGGGTTAGAAGACGAAAAC